TATACGTATCTTAGCATTCGGCACGTTGGATTGTTGTAGAGCTTTGGAAAGTCTGACTTTTTGAAGTTAAAGCGGCGAACCATGCATGTTGTATATCAAAGCCTTAGTTTTTTTACAATTTCTTCGTCATATGCCACTTAAAATTTACTGTATATCTTTGAGAAGCATAGTTGGCCACAAAAAATGAATAACAGTCAGTAAAAACTGTACCTTATCTTAAAATAAAAAATTATTCCTGCACATAATTCTGTTATGTAACAGTTTCTGTAATAGTTTTTTCAAATAATTCTCTACTTGTATTTAGACTACGGCAAGTAATCCTAGCAAGTTCAGACAACTTTAGGACTGCAATCTACATGAAGTCACAGTAAAACGTTCTAACTCTCGAATAACAGAACATCTTTTTAACCCGTCCAAATGGCTTACATGTATGCCGAAGAAGTCAGCATTTTAAGCTCCAAAATTTCCTCTTCATTAAATGTCGGAAGCTTCTAAGAGTATAAAAGCTATCTTTGGACACACTGATTGAACAATCAGAGACAATGTACGGCGTAAAAACACTCCTGTTTGCTAAACGCTATCATTTCTCTCATTCAAAACAAAGTAGTAAATCTTTTACAGAATTTGCAAATTCCATAAAAGACGTTGTGAAATATCACAACAATTCCGGAGCAAAAATTATGATAAAAGAATGGATGTGTAATGTTGATCAAAAACAAATATCTCCTTATCTGTCTGAAAATCGGCACGTAAAGCGACATTACACCAGAAGAGTGACAGTATAAAAGAAGATGGTGAAAAGAAAAGGCATTCTCTTTCTACAAAATCGTGTTTCTGACAATCTTTCGGCTACTTTCCTATAGGCCTTTGGCTACTTTCCTACTGGCGTATTTTCTGTGTTCAATATCAGTTTTGTGACTGTGTGTTCTTTGTTTTCGCTTTGGATACTTCAAAGTTATAATCTCAGTTTATGTCATATTCCTACTTTCATCCAATCAAAGCACGATGAAATCTTGTTTAATCTCCTCTGCATTCTAAAGTACTCAAAAAAAACTGTTGCGAGACCTCAGGAGACCTAAGGAATTTAAGGTTAATAAGCTCAGAGGATTAATGTTTAGGTACTGTTTCACGCCAAAAAAGAAGACTGCATTTTGCGCATTGGGTAACTTTTATGAGCCCACTTTGGCACTAGTGTTCACGATGGGGATTAATGACGCTCAACTTTGTGCAAAAATTATAGAAATAAAAAACAGTACGCTTGGTCAGGCTCTGCTTATTGTCCAGAAACAGATCCAAATCACCAAAGAGGCTAAGCAAATCCGCATGGATCCAAAGCGACCGCTGATTAATTCTATTTTAAGTGGCCGACCTTTGCCGCTACGATCTGTAAATTTCACAGGTAACCCTGAATTAAATCCATGTCTGAGTTGTGGTGGGAGACACAAACGCTAAGATTGCAGATTCCACCAAGCTGAATGCCAAAAGTGTTACAAAAACGTCATCTCGCTAGAGTTTCCAGAAACAAGAATACACAAGTTCTCCAGTTTGGATCCCGCGCAAAACAGCCAGAGAGAAGTCACATGAGCGCAAAGGAAAGGAGACTCTGGGACGTCCACACTCTTCCAATAACAGAATACTGGTGCGATATCGTAATATCGCACCAGTATTCCATTTTCAACGGACGAGAAATTTTATCTCACTCCTGTACATGAACGAACATTCGCTTAGCATTCAGCTAGATGCAAGATCACCAATAACAATTTTAAATCGTAATGGCTGGAGAAACATAGGCTCTCCATTTTGAAGCCCAATTCCTCTCTGCGCCAAAAGGTACTCTGGGGATCTTTTGCTGGAAAGGTTTCTACCAAAGTACAATTTTAAGATCATTTCGTCTCTACGACAGTCCGGATTTCGAACACTAGCACTATTAGCATCTAAGGAAGAGAACTTATACTTTTTTTAAGGTTGGAAAGCGTTCCAATCAAATCATTCTGTGATGCAGTTTCTGAAGACAACACTTTATCAGAACTTCTCTCACAATTCGCTTCGTTTTTCAGCCAGGACGTCTTCGTTCGCAAGCAAAATCACACTTGCACTCGGAACCTAATTCGTCTCCAGTTTTTAGACCCAAACATCCGGCACCCTACGCACTTCGCTCAGCACTGAAAAATGAGTTAATTTGCTTGGTAGAAGCAGATATAATTTTACCAGCTGTTTACTCCCAGTGGGCTGCTCTGATAGTTGTGATCAAAGCCGTTTTGCAAAATTTCTGGTAAAAACTACGAATTAGAAACTAAAACTACGACAGTGGAAAATGCATGAAGCAAATTGAGCGTTAATTAAACTTGAGCTTTAGAAGGGTCGCAAAAGTCGTAAAGGTAAAGGCAGCTTGATCATTTATTAAAATATCATTTATCTAATTCTTTGCTTAGCATGCTTAATAGGCGTTAGTTTAAACGCTTTATAAGTTTTCGAACAAAGCTGGTTGGTCTTGTAAGGCGCCTTATAATGTCTATCCAATAATGGTTTACGAAGCATTCTGTAGTTTTTCTTTTAAATGTACGGAGAAATTTTAGTTTTAGAAGGTAATTAAGCTCTATAATAAAAATAAAAACAGTGGAATTTGTAACATAACGAGAAAACAAAATTTGTTGAGCATTTCAATTTGTCTGAATAATTCCAATTTCAAAATCGTTACTGCGTTACTGTTAAAAGTGTCACTACTGTTTTAATTACTACTTGTTGTTCAAAAGTATGAATTTGTCTATACTTCTAAAAAAACCTTTAAAAAGAGAGACATTTCTAGAAAAAAAATCTTTTTTGGTCGTAAAACACTAGCAGTCGCACTAGCAGCAGAGCTAGCAGTTCATTTTTAGTAAAGTGTAAGCAAAGACGACAGCTGTGTAGCTTCAAGATTGTTAAAACTTCTTAAAAAGGAGTTGAATTTGCCAATCTCTGCACAGGGTAACCAAATCTTGGTTAGGCTTACTGTTTAATTCATGTTCAACTAGTTCACAAAACGACTCTTGTCATAAACTGCGTAATACTGTCCTGATAACCCAAAAATACGACTATTGTCTATCACGAAAAGACGCTGTAACAGAGCATTATTTTACCTGTAATTCAAGGTTTTTGACGTAGCTGTTTATATAGTCTGTACTGTGAGTTTTAAATTTTATTTTTTACAATCTCTTCCATTTTAATTTTATAGCCCGCGTTTTCTTTTGAGCTTTGCCGATTTTGGTTTTACTCCTTTTATAAAATCATTATTCATAATTTTTTACTTTCTGTCAACAAAAACAGTGAGTGTTCTTGGGGAAGAATGGAAGAAATGCTTTAGAACAAAGTGCCATCTTTTTTTGCCAGTTTCGTTTCTTTTACATATAGATAGAATTTTTGCCTACAGATAGAAAATTTGACAGTTTCAAAAATTCTTCTGTAGTGCTAGCCGAGTTTCTTGAACAAATTTGCGCCAAAAAATGAAAACAATTTTCTCTGATGAAAATTGGATGGATTCTGTAATTTTTAGAAACAATAATTTGATGTGCGAAAAAAGTATCAAAAAAATCTTGCAACAGTGTATTGGTTTTCTTCCATCGCTTGAGCAATTTGTTTCTGCCTCATACTCTTTAATAAACTTTCCCCAGTTGGTTTTTTGGTTGTTTTTGTATTCAACAAAAAATTTTGCTTTCTAGAAAGCACATATGTTGCATTTATTTTAGTGCATCTGCTTTAGTATTTGGACTGCAAAAATTTATAGAACAAATCCTGCAAAGCAATTAATAATCAAAAAATATTTTAAAAAATTTATTAGCACAACTCATAACTGCAATGAAAAATACAATATTTTCAACCCTTCAACTTATAAAGCCGTTTTAAAAATTGTTCCAATATTATTTCAATGATATTCTCGAACAAGCTTTATTTTGTGGTGATTATTATTACATCAAAAATAAATTTTTAGTTCCGAGAGAAATAAGAAGAAAAGAGGGAAGTGAAATAATACATGTTTTATCAAACTGAACAAACACTGGGCAACTCGAGTTATAAAATTGAGAAAAGTGAAAATGGAAGACCAATCCGGCGAAAAACCATATTAAATAAGTTTTGCATAGATAATTGGAGGTGTTGAAAAAACATTGAGCAAATAGAACACAGTACCCTCAAAAGCCGTGCAATTTCTTGATTCTTTATGTACTTCTCAGGTGCGTTTAGCTTTGGAACCAAATTTCACAACTTTTAAGGGTGTTTTTTCTGACAATCTTTTTGTTTTGCACACATAATAACAAAATTGTAAAGACTGAAAAACAAAAAGTTTTTAACCAATAAATCGGCTAGTTTAGCATTAAAAACACCGGTACAAAATTTATGACCGTGTTGAGCAATTAAAATAAATGCATATTAATCAGAAAAAAAATTATTTAGACAGTTCAAAAATCTACACAAAAAATTAAAGATAAGAGCAATGGAGATAATATTTGATAATTTTAAAGGTCTTTTAAAATCTGCAAAACTCAGCTTCAGATATAATTTAGCTAAAAAATTAATCATTCAATTTTTTAGAAGTTTGAACAACTTCATAGCCCGAATTTAGTTTGCTGATAAGCATTAACTTTGATATCATATTAATAATACTAACGAGGCATGAAAAGCCAAAAATAAAAAGACGAAAAATGATTACAACCTAAGAACTACAATGTAATCTAATCAAAACAGGAAAAAATTGTTTTTTGATAGGAAGAGTAGCAAGTTTCAGTTGGTTTTTGAGGTTTTCGGCTGGGAAATGCAGCGACTTTACCAAAACAAAAAATTACGCTTCTATTAAAGCTGTTATAGCGAATGTAAATGTGATACCACCACAAATACCTAAAAATAAATAAATTATAATTACCAGTAGCTAATTGTGTGTAAATAAATAAAAAAATTTTCTTTAGTTTACTAGAAAGACAACCGTAAAAATGTAAATTTTATACTACGCAAAATGGCACTACTGTAAACAATTATAAAGGTAAAAGCATACCGCAGATTAGGAAGAAAGCAGACATCATACCAGCCACAGGAGCTTTTGACGGTTCTACTGCCCTTAAATTTTTTTTATAAGGTATCAAACTTTGTTATTTTTCTGCAGAATAAGAAGTAATCTTAAGAGACTTTATAAGTGGTCATGACAGAGCAAAATATTTGTTTCTATGCAAAAAAAATTAGAAGATATTAGCCAAAGAAAAATATAACTTTTGTGAAAATTTTACTTACTTAGGTGCATACATCATACCAAGTGAACTGAAATAACCGCTGGTAAACGACATTATGATACCAAGCATTATATAAATGTATTCGTTGTAGATAAGAACTGGCCAGGTCCGACGTTCTGGTCGGAAGTTACACAACATCATTATCGGGATTAACACTATGCGTAAAATAGCCGGAATTATGATGTATCGTGAAGATGGCTAAAAATCTTGAGATTATTTTTTTGGATAATTGATTAAATTTTGCCATAGTATAGTTGTGAAAACAAAAAACAGAACTGCTGACCCACTGTACAAAATTAGCAGTCATAGATCCGATCATAGCGAGAGAATTGAAGAGCAAAAACGTGGTAATCGGTGTGAACAATTTTTCTGTAAAAAAGTAACAGTTTATAAATGAAATTTAGCAACAATTGCTCTCATTTTTTTCATAATAATTTTTTATTTTCACTCAAATAAAACTCATAATTGTTTTAGAGAAAAATTAAACTTAGAAAGTAAAAAAAAATTCTGTCCTTTCAATTGAGTTTTTTGTAAAACTAAAAGTGATCAGTGAAATATTTTATAAAATTTTTCAATGTTTTTTCTACTTCCTTAATAATTACAATTGTCAATGCTATTTAAGAAAAAACTGAAATCTTATGTAATGTAATAGTTTTAACAACAACAAAAAAAAAAAGAACCTGGTATAAAGAAATTGTAAGTATCATTTAGCGTATTTCGGTGAACAGGTTTAACGTCAGCCATTATTGCAGGAAATATGGTAAGCGTCACGAAGAATACCAGAAATATTGATAAACATTGTACCCAACACTAAAATTTACAAATTCTGATTATTTTTTTTCAAAAAAAATATTCCTTTTCCCCAGATAATTGCTTTTCGCCTGCAGTTCTATAGTTTTGCTAAAAAAAGTAAGTCAAATTTTTTTCTAGTTATTTCTAAAATTTTAAAAATTTAAAATTTCTACAATTATTTATAATTGCGACAAATTATAAACTTATCAACTGTTCAATAGCTTTTTTGCATAACTGTGGTAGATGCAGGTGATAGCATTTTAAAAAATACTCTCACATTTTTTAATTCATACCTTCAACATCAACTTAATCTGTACAAAAAAAAATTTAAATTATAATACATTCTGACTGTCTTTTGATCATATCTGTTCTTCAACTGTAATCATATGCGCTTAGCATAATTTTAAGTTTGTGCTATAGAACAAATTAGTTGTTATACCTGTTTGAAAGTTGATATATATAATTCCTTTTTGCTTTCTTTATTAGCAGTTCCAGCCTCTTCCTCGTCTTTCTCATGTTTCTTTATATAATAGTTATAGAATTCCTAAATAAGATACAGAATGAAGAAATAAATTATTTTCCTCCAATAATTGCTGGTGATTAATTGCCATTAAAAAAACTGCTTGTTAACACTTACAAATTGAGGAAGCATGAAAAATGAGATAAAGCATGCAGCGATTGTCAGAACAGCGATGACGAAGTACGCCAACGCGGCATTGGTTACACTGCCCTCAAACACTGCAATGATCAAACATTACTGTTGTTAATCATAAAAAATGAAAAAACAAAACTGAAGTTTGTTTAAAGGAACCTGGAAAAAAAAAGAATTGACTATGAATAGGCAAGAGGCTTTTTTACTGCAACAGCAATCATAAAAATTATATTGAGTTTAAAGCAAAACAATTTACGAAAAAAAACCCATTAATTTCAGCTGTTTCTTAACATTTTTTTAATATCAAAAACAATTTATCAAATACTGCAGCAAAAAAAAAAAAAATTACTTGTTATTGTTAGTATACTAATGACCGATACAAATGTTCCACAAAGATTATTGCCCAACACAATTGCATTAGTGAATTGTGATGGAAATGCAGCGACAAGACCATAAATGGAATTCTGATAGATGCCATTTGCTGCGTTCAGAATAACCACGGTGATCATTGTAATAAAGAAGAACGCTGTGACCACTGAAATTGTGTTTTTTTAAAGCTGATAATTATGAAATACATCTGCTTAACAACCACTTTTTTAAATCGCTTAGAAACTACGCCGAAAGCAACCTTTGTTAGTCCAGCTTTCTGGATTCTAATAGTAAAGAAAAAATTTGCATGAAACACGATTACTTTCTGTCGTATCAATTTTCACAAAAACTGTGGTGATGATACATATGATGCCGACGATGATCAATGAGCCACCAATTCTTCTATTCAATCCACCCCTAGACAAATCATTTTGAAACATTTATTTATTTTTTCTTTTGCTACTTTCAACTGCATAAATGTCTTGACAACTAATTGGTTTTAACATCAAATAGAACCGTCTTGCAAAAATAAAACATCAAAGTAGAAATTAAACTAACTTTGTGTCAACAAAAATGTTAGCAAGATTTAACAAAAGATTTGGTAACTGTGAGCAGATCCCCAAGTAGCTGAAGAACTGCTTTGAATAGTCCGTTTCTACCAGAGTACCATTTTTATTTTCCATAAGTTTGTAGTTGACAAAATACTAAAATTAATTTAGTGAAAGATAAGTAAAAAAAAATTTTTTTCAATCAAAATTTCCAGCCAATCATTTCACTTCTAAAATTTATCGTTTCCTTTTTTTTTCCCCTTAATGGAAATTTTTTCTGATAACTTGTAAAAGATAGAATTTTTGTAACAAAAAACAACCACAACTGTTTACCATAGGTGCAATTGTAATGAACATATTCCATGGCATCAATGTACCAATTCCATGCAGCAACATGATGCAGTAGACGATGTTAAACTTGTCTACCGGTGGACTACCTGGTAACATGATTTCACGTTCAGGGCTAACCATGCCTGTAATAAAGTTTCAGCAAAATTAAACAAAAAATTACAACATCTAAAAAGATTTTTAAATTTATTGCAGCTTATTAAAAGCTGTTAATTTTTTCTAGATTTTTGTGTTTTTTCACATGAGCACAAAGCTAAAGATATGCAACTAAACTTAGTTGCAAAATCCCCGTTTTTTTTTTTTTTTTGTAAGCATTCTGTAGCCAAAAACGTTCAGTTTTACTAGAGCTTTAACTATGCAATGAAAAGTTGGCTAAACATTAAAGGAAAAAGTTGATTACACAGTAAATCTAGCAGCAAAAAAAGTAACGTTTTACAACCAAAGAGATGTCAATAAATTCGCTGTGTCTTCAATACAGTAAGGAATAAAGAAACAGAAAATTTTTTATCCAACTGATGACGAACGACTGAATAGTCAAAAACAGCAACAATAACCAGAAATCAAGAATTCAAATTGTTTTGTTTTCTTTTTTTCTTCCGTTTACAATTTTTTAAGTTGCTCTAAAATAATTATCATCCAAACAGCACAACAATATCTGCTGACAGCTGTTGAGAACACTGAATCTAATCTATGTTGACAATCAACTGAGACAGAATGTAATCAGCTGCACGGTAAGGTGCAATAACTTCTGACACGACTCATTTTTCACTACCTCACTAACCTGTCGCTTTTTTTTTAGACTGCTCAATAACAGTTTTTGTTTATTTGATATTTTTTTTTTTGTTTAATTCAATAAAGTTTCTTTTAACTGTAAATAAAACTTGTTGAGTCAAATGACATAATGAAAGTTCAAAACAGAAAAAAAAAATGTATCAAAAATCTATAGAGTAAATATCCAGCGTTGAGTAAAAAATTTGCTCTTTAAAATAACTGTATTAAAACTTGTAGCATAATCTATAAATACAAACCCCAAAATAATGGTGGCTTTTTTATCTATTAACATTTAAGTAAATAGCTAAAAAACAGAAAAAAAAAATTTCTTTTTATTTTTCCACTTCAATAAATGAAGTAATAAAATTAAAACGGTCTTTCAAAAAATTACATTAATTTAAAACGAAAAAAAAGAATTAGATATAAAAAGTACAACGACAATCAATTATTTTCTTCTGTTCTTCCAAAAACACACACGATAAATATACATAAATTTAATTT